GGGGTGATTCTCAAAGAGGATCTGATCCCCCACAAAAACATGAGGGCATGACGGACTCGCTCATTTTTTGGGGGAACATCAAGGGTATATACAGTAAAAAACATATCATACAAGTTTTTTTCTTAAAAAACACACATAAAAACACACATATTATATAAAATAAACACCGTTTGCGGAAATGAATCTCCTAAATAAGGTTCTAAGGTAGTCTACTGAATTAAGGATAGAATTAGGTCAAGCGCTCTCCCCCCCAAAAAAACATACACACATCACCAAATGCGCAACAAAAACAAAAACACCTCCTCAAGCCCCCGCCGTTGCACGTGCCGTAGCTGTCACTCTGGGACCCCCCGGGCCGTCGGCCGCTTTCAAGGCACTCCGAACCTTGTAGGAATCCTGGGAGCCGTTGTTTTTGTGTCTTTTCCCGGTTCGACGTTTACTTGGCGTGTCCTCACGTGCACCATGCACAGCACATCAAATGGAACAACAAAAACACATGTCCAGCAAGGCAGGAGACATGGTCCGATCTCGATGGCACGATGGTGGCACAGCAAACGCAGCAAGGCAGGACCAGACTTCGGTCCACAGACCGGTCTCTCCCCCGGTGACACATCGGCGTCCGGTCGACTCGACCGGAGAAACGATCGATGCCACGAACGCGAGACTTGCCGAACCTTGTTTGCCAAACTCGACTCGACGATGTATCGTCGTAGAAAAACACGGCCGAGAAATCAGACAGAACAATCGCGTGGTCTTTGAATGGTCTTTGCAATCATCAGATGCTGCGATCTGTGCTCAATCGAAATCCCATCCTCGCGGACGCCTCCCAAGCGCCCTCCTCGGCTGCCACGCTCGTCGCGCGACGGTCGCTTGGCGCCTTCTCGGGGGAGGGCAAGGCCTGCAGGTTGGGATTGCTGCAGCTCAGTCGCCCCGTCGAGGTTCCATACCTCGCGGTTGGTTGGTCCCTTGGGGAAGCTGGGGGTTGGTCGCTTGGGGAAGGAACTCCAAACGGGAATGGAATCTTTCATGGAATGACATAGCATCAGGTAGCCGAAAGCAAAGTGGTTGATGGACATCTGGTCAGACTGGCGTGACTCCGTGAGGAGCGAAGAATCTGTTACGGATTGAAGTGAAACAGCAGCATACTGAACATAATATGCCAAAAAAGCTACGGTAAAAGCTGAGCATGTATGATCATGGAAGCCTGGGGAGGGGAAACAAAATGGAAAAAAACGACCGCAAATCATGACGCAAAACTGATCAAAGCATCAACGCCTTTGTGTCCAGTCCACAGCATCAGCGTATCTGTCCAAAATGGGGTCTGACCGGGATCCGTGCATCGAACAAAAACCACGACCTCTCGGATATGTCTCCATGCCCCCCTTGCAGCCCAGGACATGCCAAAGGATGTTGACAGTTGGTGAGCTCCAAAAACAGCTGAAATCATGGATGATATCCAATTCTTGTCACAGGACTGGAATAGTTGACCTGAACCCACCCGAATCTAGTGTGCTGCTTCAACAAGATCCTGTAGATGCGATCTGCGGGGAAAGTCACGTCAAGAAAAAGGACAATGGTTACAATGGTGTTCTACCCTGAGCCACAAGCAATATACGTTCTCCTATCCCCCAAACACTCCATCACACTCCATGGAATCCAGTATACTCAACATCGCAAACACACGCCGTGCACCCGAACACGCCCACAGTGCTCAATGGCCCACCCGGTGCGGTGTGCGGTGTCGCGGTGTTTCACCCACGCTCCACCTGGAGCAGCATATCTGCTGGCCAAGGGGAACCAAAAACAGCTTTCTTCGATCAAAGCGATATCGGTTCCTTCACTTCGACGATTCAATGATGTGGATAATTCATACCGGTATGTATAATATGTCGGGCAAACCTCCCGGTAGACTGGGTAGACTGGTCGATTTTCGTCGGCAGGTTCCGAACTTTGAGGTCTCCCTATATAGTTATAGTTTAATACACACGAACTGGGTGGTGCGCATCACCCAGTTCGTGTTGTTAGATGGAACATAGATGGCCAGGGGATCTAATAGATGGAGCATGGATGAAAAATACACTGGTCATTGGGGGGTTGTCTATCAACCACTCGGTTGGAGGCCATCGCTATTATTAGGTTGGAGGCCATCACTAGTAGGAAGCCATCCCTATTTATTAGGTTGGAGGCCATCGCTAGCATTACTACTAGTAACAAGAACATATAGATGATCAGGGGTGGTTCTTGGAGGGTTGTCTATAAACCACTCGATCTGTCTTTTTCCCAAATATCACGACCAAGCGACGACCAGGATGGATGTAGTCGGCCTTGGGTAGAGGCCTCTGGTCGCTTTTCACAAAAGGAAGCAGGAAGGATCGAAACGGAATGAACGTGATCGACAAGTCGTAGAGGCCTACAGTCGTACCTTCTGACAAGTGTTGGAGGGTGGGTGCCAGGAGGGTCCAGTCAGACCTTCTGAGGAAGTATACTCGGAGGTGGGGAAATGATATGAAATGATGACATGTGTCTGAAGACCTCAGCGAAGCAAAAGCAAACGACTTTGGCAATCCCAAGGGCGGTCGACATCTTTACTTGGGTGGTGATTTTCTTGTTCAGCTGTCCGTTGAACTCGGGTCAACGGACGTTCAGCTCCAACCAACAGAAACAGGTCTTCTCGAGAGAACATGTTGGAAGGCTTGGAAGGTCCGAGAAGCAGCGCACAAAGACCACTTGACTCCTGCAACTTGCCCCTGAGACCATGGTGAGACGAACATTCTGATTGAACCATGCACGCATATGAACGAACACATGGGGATAGGGTTGCACTCCTCTTGACACAGGCTGACACCTCGAGATTCTGGCTGACGGCTGTGTTTCATGGGGCCAAATGGACATAGTATAATATAATATAGTAATATATATATATATAGACCAAGCCACCTTCTCACCTCCAAACTCTTGGCACAATCTTCAATTCATGTTGCTAACACTCATGCTTTGCGATCTGTGGATCACCTCTTCCGGGAAATGTGACGAATGAAACACATGTGAGTCTCGCCGGCCATTGGCACACTCTTCAAAAATCATTGAACCGATACGACGTGCTCTTCCAAGCGACGTGCTCTTGCATCGGCTCGGCAAAGGCGGTCAGGACGTTCTGGATCGAGGCAAGCGGAACTGAAACTTCCAGGAACCCAACGGAACCGAACCCCCTGACTGGTCGACTCGCCAGTAGCGTAGCAGTGATGACCCGCCAGAACCTCCTGGTCGCTGGTCCCTAACTTGGGAATCACTGGTTCTCCACAAACAGGAAATCCTTCTCGCGCGTCTCGCTTCGCAGCAGTCAGGTTGTTGACCCCGTGTCTGGGAGTCCGGAGTCACGTCCACGGACGGTCCGGACAGTCCTCGTGGTCGACGGTTCTCTGCGTCGACACTGCGTCGTGACCTTGACCCTCTTTGAGGAACCGCTTTGAGCGGCGTTCGTTCGGGGAAACGAGGGAGGTGAATGGGGTGAGAGAGACGGAACTTCACCCACACACATTCATGATACCTTGATTTTCCAACGACGTGACAAATGTCTGCCTTTTCACACCAGCCAAAAGGCAAACACTTTGCAGAGTTGGAAGATCCATGAAGATCCAGGTATGGCACATTATGGCACATATGATGCCCCAAAACACTTCAACTCGGTGGTGTTTTTGGGGTGTCCTTCGCAGTGTCGACGGCGGTGTACTTGTGACCATTGGGTCTCAGGCACCCCACCAGATCGAGACGAGATCGTCGCAGCTGCCTTCACTGAAGCCATCTGCCGGTGCACCTGCATGGCTTCTGCTGCCTGTGGCAGCAGCAGAACGAGCGGAATTGGTCCATTGTTTTGGGTGCTGCGAAGATCATGATGTGGAGGTGAAGTGCCCACCTAAAACAAACATTGAGTCAGGTGGAGTCACTGGGAATCATCTGGACTCTACCCGGTTCGACTCATACAAAAATGCGGAAGGATCACATCTGGTACTAGCGCATCTTCAAGTGTGGAACTCAGGAGGTGAGGCTGAGTGACATGTTTTCTGTACGTGCTGCAGTCATGTTAATACTAACTATTCATTTGCAAAACAGTTCTGGTCATGCCTATTTTTGGGAAAACACATGAGCCTTTTTGAGGTCACCCCATCACAGTTTCATCTGCTGACGCCATTTGTCAGCGCCTTCTCCACCATCTCAGGGGACCAGCCCAACTCATCCAGCTGCTTCCGCACCTGACGGCTGCTGAAGAGGCAGAAGCAGCGTGAGATGCAGTCAGAATGGATCGGATTGGTCTCTTTTCCCCAGGTGTGGTGCCAAGTGGTGCATGTGTCACATTGCTATTGCATACAAATTCCAAGTTGCAAAAAGACTTGGGCAGTCTCACAACAAAGCCCACCATGGTAGTGGCACAATATGGATGCATGCTACATCATGCCATCATGCAACCCTTGATTTCATTGATCTCTTCGATGAATCGTAACTTCAAACAAGAGTTGCTCATAGCATTGCTCCATCTGATCATCTCTGATCATTCACCTCCAGCTCAATCTCTGTTCGTAGAACCTGATGTTGCACCATGTCCTTCGGGAGAATCATCAGAGAGGCCGATGTTGCACCATCATTTCATCCTATATATGTTGGTTGTATACCTGAAAGTAGCATCCCCTCTATATCATCATAACCCATACACTCCATGGGACTGGAATATATGCCGCCCCATTGAACCCCCTGGCACCACCCCTGGCCGGAACTCTCGGCAGTCCGGACTGGCAGTCCCATGAGTCGTGTCTGGCTTAGTTCGTCGGCGGGCGAGTCGACCGGTTGCGGCGGGTCATGCCGTCGGCCGAGTGACCGGTGGAAGGGGGCGAGCCCCATGGCTCGAGCCCCATGTGTGCACGTCATGTGCGTGTGTCACATGTGCCAACGAGTTGTCGTGTCATCTTTGGCTCCGGGCGTTGTTGTCCTCATCATTCAACAGCGCTTCAAGAGCATCCTGGGGTGAAGCAACCGTGCCAAAGAAGAACGTTCCCCAGCCTTGTGAATGTTCTTTAGGACAGAAAACAGTGGTGCCCTTCGAATGGCTCCCCTGAAAATAGGCACGGTCAAGAACAGGAACCACTTCCATCGTAGATGGCAAAAGGGATACACAAATAAGCCATTGAATGCAACTATATATATATAATATATATATATAATGAAATGTCTCGTATCAGGTTTGCTCCCAGAAAACGACACCAACCAACTTCCAGAGACGCTTCGCCGGCCTATTGGTCGCGAACGGCCAAACGGTTCGTGGCTTTGAGTCGCAACGCTCCGCACTACCGGAGGGCTGGTCGATTTGAGGCTGCCCCGTGAACGGCCTCTACCAGGACCCCCTAAGGGGTGTCTAATTATAGCTCCTTAGAGGTTAAGGGGTGTCCATTAGCCACCCCTTGTGGGTCCTGGTATAAATTCAATACCAAACATTCGGAAGCTTCTATAGTAGTGATGGCCTCCACCCTAGTAGCGATGGCCTCCAACCTATAGTAGTTTCTTGTTACTAGTAACGCAGAAGTCCCACATATTCAAAAGAGACTGCAACTGAGACTGTAATCAACTGCCTAAAGCTCAGTTCCAGAATTGTTCATACGGTTAATAGACAAAAATCCTGCACCACTGGAAGAACAAACCCATGTATACCCTCGCGCTCCCTCTTTAACTTTAACATTGAGCTGAGGAAATGTGTCAAACAGAAAAACGTTTGACCCAAATCCTGCATTTGAGACGGTTGGTTCTCCAAAAAGGGTGCAGCCTCTCGGTGATCCACGATCTCGCATCTGACGGTCAAACGTCCCTCAGGTGCGTTTAAAAAACAGCACGGTCATGTCATGTTCGACACGGCATGTCCGGGCATGGCCGGTCTTCGTTATACTATATAACATACATGGGAGCACAGTGTCGACCAGCCGTTCGAAGAACAGCTAGGCGTACATGGTTTTTCACAGCTGGTTCAGCCGTTCGGGTTGGCACGATGGGTCTAATTGGTCGTCAATCGTCAAAAAGGCTGCATGATTCATCCAGGTTGGTCTCTCAGTCGCACCTAGGAATCTATGTAATGTTTCATGAGAATTACAATTCCCACACACGACCAATGGGACTGCCATAGGACTGCCGCCCCATTGACCCCTAAAATCACCACCCCTGGCCGTTTCTCGGCAGTCCTATGGCAGTCCCATTAGTCGTGTCTGGCATTAAGACCAAAATCAATGAATCATGCTTCTGTGCCTATAATTGAGTGAGGCTTGTGACATGTTGTGATCTGTGTCACGTGCTGACGACCTCAAATGCGTAGAACCAACCAACGAAAACATCACCGTCACGCCGTCCATTGAAAGGACTGGCCCCGGTCCATCCCCTGAGACCGACTTCCGACTTCCCTCCTTCGACCCCGTCCGCCGAACTCCGAACACCCCGAACCACGGAAGGACCGGCCTTGCATGTGGAAGGCCAGCCCTTGGCCGTCACAAACTTCCGATTGCGCCCTGACGGGCAAAGCGGTGGGCGATGAAGCGAGGCGGGAGGCAGCGTCGAGTCGCGACCGAAGTTTCACAGGCTACGAAGAAATAGCCAGGAGTCACAAAGGGGTGGTGTTTAGTCTCCAAGTGAGTGGAGTAGCTGGGCACTCCTAACCTCCATGGATAGCACCCCTTTGTGACTGCTGGAGTAGCATTTGGTTCCGTTTCGTAGCATCCGAACGTTCCTAGTAAGGCCAGGGGTCGCCCCGATTAGCTAGCGTCCGAACGCTCCGTTCGTAGCGATGCCAGGAGCCCCGAACGTAGCTTCTTTTAAAACATATCCGTCCCCATAATGCCATGGTCCTGTCCATTGGCTTGACACCTGGAAGTGTGTGAGTCAAGCTGGCCACTATGAAGAGACATGAAGAAACCATGGCGGACAATGCAACTAATTATTGGACCCAAGAATGCCTCGGAGACCAAATATTCCATTGAGAACGCCACAATAAGAAATTGCAATCTAGAATTCACCTTGGACAACATGTTCCAATTCTGCTTCAACCTCTTAAGGTTCAAGAAGATCAAAAACCACCCAACAAGCAAACCGAAACAGCTAACACGGCTCTCTTCTTTCCACATGCACACCCCCCAAAAAAAACATATCCTTCCTTTCACCTTCGTCTCGGCGAACTTTTGGTGGAATTTTCGCGAGTCGCTCACCCCGGGACGTCCCGTCCTGGCGTCAAGCGCCAGCTGTTCAGCTCGAAGCGCTTGGAATGCCTTAGGTGGAGGCCGTGAACTGGGGGCGGAACCAGTCGGGTAGAACCACCAGTGGAGGTGGAGGGTGGACCCGGTGTGCTGTACTGCCGATGGGTCCTTCTGGTCCAACAAAAACGCCGAGCAAACACATTGTACTGCAAAGCTTATGGTTGCCCTGGGCGAATGCACTATGACCTTATATATACATTGTGCCTGGGGTGGGGAAAAACAGATATTCTATGATCTTCTATATATACGACATTCAAGCGGCTTGGATCTGAAGTCTATATCCGTTGTCCATTCTTCAGCTCACTTGGACCTTCGGCAAAACTCAGCCCCCCTGCTTGATACCAGCCTGCAGGTCAACGAAACCAGTTTCAGTCAACAAGCTTCAAATGAGACACGTTGCGGTGAAAAACTCAGTGGCGCCGTTGACCAAGACTGGTCGTCTCTCGGAAACGCCTTTTCATGGATCAGAATGGGTGTGTATGAGGGAGACCTCCCAGGCGACCTATTTCGACCTCCTCTTCCAGGTTTGGGACGTAGACCAAAACCACGAACAGCCTACCCATCCCATCTCCTCATGTTCGACCGCTCTTCGCTTGGCGGATCTTCGGTCCGTCCTCTATGGAGTCCTTGGAGACTGGGAAGCTCCTGCTGACCTGGCGGACGTGGCGGACGCTGTTCGAGGAGAGGCGGACGTTCGGGTCAAATCGGGCTGAAGGGGAAACCCGCCGCAGCCCGAAACAGGCGAGCTTGCATCGCTCAATTGGATCACCAGCTCGTGAACAAACGATGGCACAAATGTGGCATCGCAAAGGGCTCGCTGGCTCTCTCTCTCTCTCTCTCTTCCTTCCTGCGGGGCACACCCACCGGCATCGCCAAATTGCGTTCCCACTCCATTCACGGGCACGAAAACAGCTCCTTCCAAATGCTTCAGTGAAAAACAGCCTGCTAGGTGATTGGCGTAAGTTGGAAAGCAAATGAAAGCAGCCACCCCAAAATATGACGTGTTCCTCTCAAATCGAGTGTCAAGTGACTTGTATATATCGGTAAAATCATAGTAAAACCATAGGTTGTTCGTCCCTCAGCCCGCTTTTGACGTTTCAGCCTCCAGCTCTTCGTCGCTTGCCCGGTTCTTGGTGCCTGTCCGGTTCGTTGCGATCCGTGGCCAATTCTCTCGGAGATGTTTGTCGTGTCCGGACGTCATCGAATTCCTCACCCTGGCAGAACTTTGGAATCGGATTCTGCAACTGCCTGGTGCAGAATAGAATCGGTTTAAAGAGGACCACACCTACGAGGTGACACACAAGATCGCCAATTCTCCACGTCCATCGCCCCCAAAAGTGTCGATCTCTTCCCTTTCAATATTAATGACGCACGAGCCGAGCCCCGAGCCCGCGGTGCTTCGCCGGTTCCCTGGACACCTTTTTTGTCACTGCTTAAGCGAAGTTTGAATCGAGTCTGGCCACATTAGCAGGCTGGGTGCTCCGCAGCCTGTGCACACCGCTGACGGCCTGCGATCATCATCGTGTTGAACATGCTACCGCCGACGACCTGCGATCGTGCGGGTGGGCTGTGCATGTTGGCATGGAACTCTGAGCCGCCAAAGGCGTGGAATCTGAAACTAGTAGCTTCGTGCTACTAGTAGTAAGGCCAGGAGCTACTATTACTATAGTAGCGTCCTTGCTACTAGTAGCAATGCCCTTTGTTACTTGTTACTAATAGCGATGGCCTCCAACCTGATAGCGCTGGCCTCCTCCTAGTATAGCTTCTTGCTACTACTGACTCTGGACATGCATTGCATGCCAACCATCAATCTCCAAATACAGTACTTCCTCGTAGGCCATTCACCAAATCTTCTTGAAAGCGGCTGCGGCACACCCAGCCAACGAAATCGAGGACGACCACGGTCATTCTGAGCAGCGGACGCCCTCTGGGTGAGACAAACAATTCATCTATGCTGGAGCGGTCAAGCATTCGGCAGGGCACCCAAGCTCTGGATCCAAAATCATGGGAAAAAACACATGCATGCACGCAAAAAGCTCGGCCTCTGACCTTTTTTCTGTCCCACCTGGGCACTTTCTGAAGGGAAGCCACAGCTTTTTAGAAGTTTCTTGACGAACCCACACACACACACCCCACACACACCTCTAATTAAGGATCTCCAGCGCAAGAACTGTCAAGTCCATCAAATACCTATCGTCAGTCCTGTCGTGGTTCTGTCATGAGTCGCGTTGCTTCGAGTGCCTTACGGTGCACGTCGGATGACACTTCAGACACGCAGAACCATCTACCATTGGCCCAGCCGCTCCGTCATGGAGAAAAAGGCAAGGAAGGCAGCAGAAAATCTACCCTTCTGACGCGTCCAACTTGACACATTTACCAGTTTTAACCTGTTTAGCATGTTAGCATTTAGACCAAGTGGCCCAAACTGCTTGTGACTTTTAGTCGTTCGTAGCGTGCGTCCAAAGGGGTGTGCGCGCCACCTGCCATCCGAGAGATGTAGTCACTATGATGCTCAAAGACCAGCGAGAAGCACTGCGAAAGCGCTTAAGACTGCTTTGGGCACATGGTGTTGAAATGCGGCATTCACCTGGAACTGGGAAGGGACTGGGTGGGAACTGTTTGGCGCGGCTGCACACCAATCTCAAGAGATGCTTTTTGTGATTTGAGCTGCAAGAACAGGGACCAGAAAAGAACATGTTGAAATGTGTTCAGAATTCAAAGCATTGTGATCTCTGCATCCATCCTAAGTAGTGCTAAAGGAAAATCCCTGAATATCAATCCACTTCATTTTTCGGGGGGCACTTGGCACTTTGCGCAGAAAAGTTGTGGCATGACGCGAGCGACAAACCCAAACAGGTAGTGCAAACAAACGCACTAAACAAACGCAAACAAACAGGTATATAAGTACAAACAGATCCACCCCAGAAGTCTTGTCCATCTTGCTGGCATCCTTCAACCTACCCGACACTCTTTGCGTCCGAGCGACGGGCACATCTGCCACATTGACGCCTCGTGTGGCTCGACAAATCGATTTCACGGCGGTTTCAGTGTCCCACCCCCTCTGCAACTCGGGGTGCCACTCCCTGACCTTCCGAAGGCCAAAGAATAAGGAATATCCTTTTTCTCAGCCTCCATCGATATGTTGGAGAAAGGGTGTTTATCCTTTCCTCCTGCCTGAGGGCTTGCCACAGGAAAAAGCTTCAGCTAAAGGCCGCATCTTCCCCAACAATCCTAGTTTCTATAGGTGCAGTTCTATCTTGCACCCCTGACTCGTCCTTTATTGGCAAGGAGCTCACCACCTTCTGCTGGTACTTCCCCTCGCCCGCGACTTCACTAATCTCTTTGTCCAACCTGAGGTCAGCTGTCGCAACATGGAGAGGCATATGCAAAACAAGGTCAGGCTAACTAGTGCGCTTGGCGGGTTCTAGGGCCAACCCTCGGCACTTTCCACAGAAAACACCGTCATTTCTGACCATGCTTCACCTATTGGCGATGGCGGGACAGCCTATGTTCTTGGAACAAAAAGGGGCGCCAGTGGACAATCACCAGATCACCCATGCTTGCCTGAGCCCGGCCAGGAAACCAGTATAGGAGCACATGGGTCATCGATGACCCCCCAACCCAAGAGGTAGCAAGTGGCGATCGCTGGTCGCGCTTTTGTCTGGTTACGTGGATGGCATGGCCCCTTTCGTTCGGGTCTACCATGTTCCGAAGACAAAACAGGGGGATGCCATGCACGAAAGCATGTGAGTTCGGAGTGGAATGCTTCGTCTGGTTCGTCCACCAAGTGATACGGGCCCGCAAGAGCCACGGGAGACGAACAAGACAGTACCGACGCCGGGAATGGGACAACCGTGACAAACATAAGAAAGTGTCATAGTGTTTTGACCGATGATGAGTGAAACAAAAAACATACCAACACTATGAAAAAGTGTTTCAATCCAAATGGAGGGGGGGGGTCCCTGGGCCCTCCAGTTTTGAGGCTGTTACCGCCGGGACCGTCTTGTTTTCGACACGTTTCTCCCAAGGGGCAATTCATTGAAGGTCGGCATGTCGATGGAGCTGAGCTTCTCTTGGATTTCAGCCATGGGCAAACTGGGTTCGCCGTCGCTGTATGGGATGGTCCTCAGTCTTCGGCTCGTGATGGGGCCCGGATTTAAGAAACACACCAAAACACTGCCAGGCAGTGTTAGAAGCATAGGTGAAGCATAGGTGAGCATAGGTTCCCCAAGAAGGGGACTTTCTCACTTTCTGCTTGGTATTTAGAAGGCCATGTCATCCAAGGGCCTTAAAGGTTCCATGGATCCACGTCACCATGGATCTTTCTTTCGAGTGTAGACCCAAGTCATCTGAAGACCCTGTCGACATCAAGTGGCATGGACCATGTGTTTCATCAGCACGTCCCAAACACCGGCTTTTCAAGAAGGGGCTGTTCGCCGGGTGGCATGATGTAGGTGACCATGATGTAGCCCAACTCTTCACTGGACATTTCAACCTGCAGCTGCTCCTTCGGCACGGTGGACACTTCCGACATCACGTTGATGTAGGCCTCGACCAGCACAGGGCCGGGAGAGAGGGCATTAGGTAAACAACAAACGGGGTGAAACAAAGGAAGCCGGTGATGGGTAACCAATGGAGTGAGCGACAAATGATGGAAGATTCGGATTGGGAAGGCCCTGCATGGAGGGATTGAAGTTACTGAACAAAGGCGGCTTGCTTAGAGCGATTGTTTGTGCCATTCTCCTTAATATGCACTGTGGCCTCAAATTTAGAGCACGCAACAAACCCACAAAACCCAATGTTCACACTCAGAAGTCTGCATGTGGTTTCTTCACTATAGTCAAGGTCATGATTCTGGATTGCGGGTCAATCACAACTTTCCCATTTCGACTATTTTGGGATTTGCAATCCGCTAACACAATGATTTTCTGAACTCTTAGCCCGCCCAGAGCCAAGTTTAATAAGACACGTCAGAAACGCCATCCCAGACTGGGCCCTCCAAGGGCTGCTGGCTATTAAACACCCCAAACAAACGGGCCAAACCCTGCTTGATACTGATGATCCTGGCTGGCACTCTGACTCTCCAAAAACCGAGACGTGTCTCAAGGCTTCCCACGGTCTCGCTCAAGCTGCGCGGCGTTGTGTCCCGAGCTGCCTGACGGATGAGGGGGTCCTCGAAGTACTCCCGGTAATCCTCCGTGTCCCGGACCTCCACCCGCATCGTCAGCTTCCTGGCGAGAAGACCAGAGAGTGACCCGCCGCAATGACCCCCCCCCCAGGTGGACCGACCACACGGTCTGCAGGAGAGAGTGATGATCACCCCAGAAAATAGACCAAACGGTGAAGAAAAGATATTTCCAAAAATATAAACAACAACTCTAAAACCATGAAGTCTAAATCTTCCATTGATTCTGGGATGTGTAGACCTGGCCGCAAGGGGTAGACCTAGTTCGAAGTTTGGCCCCCGCGAAGCCGATGGAACAAACATGTAACATGTAGGATGATCGAACATGTAGGATACACAGGAACCAACGCCTGAATCTAAAAACACACGCGGCAAAGTCCGAAGTCATGACGTTTAGACGTTAGTTTGGACTTTCTGGTGTAACTTGCTTCGCCGTCGCATGCCACATGAAAACCTGCGCTTTTGGCATGGCCAGGCCACATCACTGCAGCTGGCCCCCGTGTGCTTGGCCCTGCCGTCGTCTCCACTTCTTCCGTCGTGGAGTTCGTCACCACATGATGTTCGTGGTGCTCGGACGTGGTAGTGCTCGCAGCCGTGCTTGCAGCCGTGGTGGTGCTGCTGCTGGTGGGCTCCTGGTGGTGCCAGTGACTTCCACTTGGAAGATACCTACCGAACTTGGATACAGTAATGCAATCCCTTAAACGCTCCATGTATGCCATATATGCCTACATTGACCCCCCAAACCACCCGAATGTAAGCATATATGGCATACATGGAGTGTCAGGTAAACAAATCATTTGGATGTCTCGATTTCCTGGCGCACCCGAAAAGAAACACATCTAAGGGATCATAAGGGTGCGCTTGTTTCGGACGTGCAAACATCCCTCATCCCACGAACATCGAGTGGACGAAACCTGTGAGAAGCTGTGGAAGATCAGGACGGTTGAACGAC